ACACGTTCCTTCTTCATGGACCCCAACAAAATTTGGATTGTTGAGCTTGGATATGCATTAACGCATAATCAATTTCACTTGTTCAAACATGTCTTCCCATGCATATGCATTCGGCAATCGAGATCTTTACGTATGTCCATCCTACGATTAGCGAATGATTTATAAACTTGTTGGCGCATGACTTCCTATAGTCGTATGTCGTTGTAAGTGGCTTCATGGTCGTATATACGGAGGCTATCCGGGTCTCACCCGACATGTTCCGGTTTGACATTTAACTGTTTTATCCCTTGTCAGTTTCTTTCAGGTCAAACTGACTGGCACGTTCCGGATCACGAAGCACCCGGGCACCCGATTGAAGCTACGCTTTTCGGCTTGCTGTGTGTGCGGCACAGTACGTCACATTTTGTGTCAACAAGATTGAACATGTTTTTGATAGTCTTCCTGACCGAATTTGTGGGGTCAACCTGAAGCAAACTTATAGTATTGTTTTCATGCTTTCCATCTTAGTAAAGTATGCATTTTTTGGACAAGTACAACTCCAGATATGATTTTTTTTTAATATCCCTGTCATGTTTTACCTTCAGAAAAATACAGTTAAGTTCAGAGCCTCGGTACTTCATTTTACGTGCTTCAAATCAAAACAATTATTATACCAAAGTTGTAGAGAATGGGGTCTTACATGTTCTGACCAAGTTTGGGAATTTTTGGGTCAGTGGATATCAGTATACAAAAAAAGAGAAGCAGCACTGCTGTTGTTGATGAAAAACGATGTTCGCTGTTTAGGGTAGTTTTTGAAGGGACGCTTTATGTATTGTTTACACTTATTTGTACAAGAGTACATTCTGAGTTTATGCTTCCTAACCAGGTGGCGGTGTTTCGGATCGTGCCTAGTGCTTTCCTTGTGTCGCTCCGGCTTTTTGGAGGCAAGTAATTATAGCGGAGATCGTGCTACTGTTGTGACATGTTATTTTCATCACCTACACTTTAAATTCAAAACTGATGTACTCTAATTATGATCTGAACATGGTGGTTTATTCATGCACAAGCATGTTGCTTAATTGTGTTATTTTGTTACTTTGTTTCACATGAGGATGAAGTTGAAGTGTTGATAATATTTATCACATTGCATCGTGTCATGTGCACTTTGCATTTCACATGCACTTGAAGTTGATCGCAATCCTATGGATGCGTCTGTACTGGTACACATCTTGTGTTGCCCGAGGAGAGGTGCGATGTAAAAGAAGTTATGGCATTTGCATTTTTATGCATTCATCGAAGGCATCATAATAATATGTGACTCTTGTGGATGTGAAGTTGAAGAAAATATGTGTCCTTTGGATATGGATTTATTAGCTGTATGTTACTTTTCTTATAAGAGGCATGTTCCTGTTCTGTTGGGGCATAACTGAATGCTTAATCAACTTGTGATTTAAATAGCTTGTCAAATCAAATTTCTTGCTAAGATTTTTAAATCTCACCCTTTCTTACTCTTTCCAGGTACTTGAAGCTTTACATGTGGGAATGGGAAGTAGCAGCACGTTGCACCGATCATGATTTGACTTATCATACTTGTGATGTAGTAAAAAAGAATGTTTAGTTCATGGAATTGTTTTCAGTCTTTGCTTAACCGTGTGTCAGAGTTGTTAAGCTTAATTATCTTCTATTCTACTACTTTTGGATTATCTGACACGTTATTTTCTTATATTTTATCTATGCTATGCTTCCGCGTTGCATCTTTTTCAAAGGAGATGCTGCTGTTTTTTTTGTGTGTGTTAAATTCAGTTTATGTTGTGTAGTTGGTAGCATTCCAGGGTTGTGGCCTGGGGTGTTACACGGTGGCGACGGCGGTCGGAGGTGCTGCGGCGAGGGATAGGTCACAGAGAGGGGCGGAGCGGCTGCGGAGTGTAGGTGCAGAGCCGAGACAGCTTTTATAGGGCGAGAAGGTGAGGGGAGGGGCCGGGTCACGAGCTCCGGTGCATGCCGTCAATGGCGGTCGCGGAGTGCGTGCGGGAAGAGGTCGCGAGCGGCTGCGCTGGTGGGCGGGTGCGGTAGACGCGGGAGGAGAGAGGACGGGGCTCGGTCGCGCCGGATTGCTTGGTCCGGAGCGCGGCTGGGTCGCGCGGGCGGCTCGGGCCTGCCCGGCCATTGCGGCGGAGGGAGAAGGTCCGGAGGTAGCCGAAGGCTGACGGAGCCGGCCCACTCGTCAGCGATGGTAAGAGAGGAGCAGGCAAGGTCCACCTGTCTGTGAGAGTGGAAGGAGGGGCTGCGCGGGCTGGCCTGCTGGGCTTGCCTGCCCATGCGACAAACGGGCCGCTGGCCCACGTGAAGGGGGAGAGCGCGGGAGGGAGGCTTGGGCCGAGGCCAAGAGGAGGAGGGGGCGCGGGAGTGGAGCTGCAGGCCGGCCAGAATTGGCCCAGCAAAGAGAGTGTTTAACTTTTCATTCTCTTTTTTTTGAAAAATCACATTTGCACAGTTTAAATTCCTAAAATCCTAATAAAATCTTGGAAATTTTAAGAAAAGTGACAAAAGCAGTAATTTTATTTAGTGTTAACTATTCACAAACCAAAATGGAATTTTTGGGGTGTGACACGAACAGGGTCGATGCTTGGTTTCCAAAAAAAGGACTTGGTAATGCACGGTAAATATTGATGTAACGTAACAACATCTGGATGGTGACCGGGTGTGTTAATAAGTTTATTGTTAGTTGCTTCATCTTAAACCGTGCTAACAAAGAGTTATCATATGTACACGTCAGATAATGTTGATCTAAAAAGAAACTATGCGCGTCAGCATGTGTTTGTTGTAGCTTCGTAGGGATGAATCTACTGCCCTGTTCGGCTGGTATTAAAGCCGGCTGAAACTGTTTTATTGTGAGAGAAAAATACTATAGATTCTAGCTGATAAGCCGGCTGATAAGTTCAAGCGAACAGGCCTACATGTTTTCATTGGGGTCACCTCACCCCGGTAACTTAATGAAAACTAACTAAAAGTTGTTATATATATCTGCCTGCTGTAAATTACTCTTTCAAATAGAGAATCTACGTATCTTTGACCCAATTTTTTGTGCTTGACTCCAATGACATGATATCCCGGATGCACCCTGAGCTAGAGGTTGAAGCCTCAAATATATAATGGTTCATCTTCGTATGCCAAAAACACCTCCGGCTCCTATATTATTCCATGCCCAAATGGCTCTTTCTCCTCCGGATGTTTGGTGTGGCTCTATTTGCTCTGGTGGAGGTGCCGTTAGAGCTAGAGTTGGAGTTACACAAATTTCAGGTTAAAAGTTGGTGGTGTGACGTTTTAGTTTACCGTTCAGTACATATAGCTTGGTGAAACTACTATAGGAAATGATAAAGTGGATGTCACTTCATGCCAAGTGTTCCTTGTATGGATTACTTGCAGGATTATAACATCACATCATGCATAGATGATCCATTAACCATCGAGATGGATATCTCTAGGGAAAAAATTGTTGGTACGCTACCATAATCTAGAATTTATTTGGTGGCTAAAAACAGTCGGGAAAAGTACTGAAACCGCTAAAGGACAGATCTTTGATGGCAAACCATCGAGCAAAATCTACTAAGGATAGAGCACAAGGGAAATTCAGTTTCCTTGGCGTCTAACCCTCAAGGTTTATTTCCTTGGAGGTTTGGCGGCCAAGAAAACTAGAGATATCTATCAAGTTTTCCAAAATGACAAGAAAATGTTGTAACCGCTATAAGGAATATATATTTTCTTGTAGACTTTGTACAACCCCTAAGAAATTGCAATATTCCTTAGTGACTTGGTTTTGGCACTCTAGAAAATCCTTGGCCACCAAGGAAATCCTATTTTTTCTTTGATTTTCTTGAACTATTATTTGGTTATTCCCTTTAGAGATTTAGATAGATTTAAAGTTTTGATTAGTTTTCTTTTCTATATAGCCCTATTCTGATTATCAGTGATCACTCATGATCGACTTTAAACATTTTCTAGAGCGACAATGGTTACACAAATTAAATAGTACATGACAAATTCACAAAAGAATAAAATCTGACTTCCCTTGATGATGATTCGACAATGAAATGATATACAGGGACTCACACTCATGGACGACTAATAAGTCTTAAGTTGTCATTTTATTTTTCCAGCAAACAATATAATCTTCGTAAGATTATTCCAGACCTATTTAGATTGACTAAAATAAATTTCTAGTAGCTGGCTAGCTGCTAAAAAAAATCCAGTTGATCCAAACAACGCAACTTATGCTTTAGATTATAGCCCATTTTAAACTATTCAACCATCCAGCTTATAAAAAGCTATTATCAGCTTTTAAAAAGTTTAGCTAATCCAAACGGGACGTGAATAACATGTTTCGTTCCAAACAAGCCTGGCCTTGAGTTCTCTCTGAAAATGGCATGCAGATGTATACATAACAGCTTGGGCATTTGCTGGAAAACTTCACATTTCTGCATACAACATGTATATTATTGCTCTTGAGATGATCTGTTCTTACTAACTTTCTGCAAAATGAGCATTTACTAAAAAAAAGCAATAATAAGCAAGATGAAAAACATATATATTATGCACACATGATTAACTCTCAACAGTGTAAATATAGCAACTAGAAATCTTTATTCATTTACATATGGATGCAAACTGATAGCTAGCTCATCACAAGCAAGCTCTGGCTCGTACGCAAGAACACAACATCACAGCTCATATATAGGTACTATAACTGTGCATAAACTACACAACATGCACATGTGGTAAAATGTGTAGATAACTGGTGGGACTGTGTACGTCCGCTCATGGTTTTGCTGCCTCCGGCTCCGTGTAGTGGCCCTCCGGCTTCGGTGGCAGCTCAGCTTTCGGCAGAGGCGGCAACTCGTGGTTTGGCACCTCCGGAACTTCTGGCACGGTCGGGTGAGGAGGGAGTTCAGGCTTTGGCAGCTCTGGCGCCACTGGGTGCGGCACCTCGGGCTTTGGAAGCTCTGGGACGGCCGGATGAGGAGTCACTTCGGGCTTGGGCAGCTCCGGCACTGGGTGCGGCACCTCAGGCTTGGGCAGCTCTGGGACGGCCGGGTGCGGTGGCAGCTCGGGCTTGGCTGCTCCGGCACCGGGTGAGCCACCTCAGGCTTGGGCAGCTCGGGGACGGCCGGGTGCGGTGGCAGCTCGGGCTTGGGCTGCTCTGGCACCGGGTGAGGCACCTCAGGCTTCGGCAGCTCGGGGACAGCCGGATGCGGTGGCAACTCGGGATTGGGCACCTCAGGCGGCACGACGTCGGTAGGGTGCGGCGGCAGCTCGGGTTTTGGCAGCTCCGGCACGGCAGGGTGTGGGTGTTCCTCCTTGGGCGGCGCCTCTTCCAGCAACCGCGCGGCGCTGCTCATGCCGCTGCAGCAGAGCAGCAGCGCCACCAAGAGAAGCGAAGACACGGTGCTCCTGGAACTCGAAGCCATGATTGGACGATGGTTTACTCTCAATCGTGCTGTATATGTGCTTCTTGTCTTAGAGCTGGAGATGGTTGTGTGTGATGGCTAGGAACGCAGACAACCTGCTATTTATAGAGTTCAGTGAAGGCTTGAGATCTTGTCGTTTCAGAGCTGGTAGGTCATCTGCATCGATGTGGTTGTTTAACTTTGTCCTTGGCAATGATACTTTCCTGATCTACACTTGTGTATGGTTTGGTTAGTTGGGAATACTGAGACGACCTGAGTGATTTGGTTGGTCGATGCAGCGGCAATAATGTAGGCTGTAGCTACACGTGTGCGATGTACAATATCTCATCAATCTACATTTGTTTGGCTACCGGATTGCGCAAGGTGTGGACTTGCATGCCAAGAATCGACTAAGAAAGAGACCAACATGAATACATCTATGCTCACGAGAGGATGGGTGGATTTACTAGCTCTGAATAAAATACTTAAACGATCGAGTTGAAAATGACCCAAACACGTACTCCGTAAATTTATTCAAAGCACCATCTTTTTTTTTGTTTGTAACTCATGTCCTTTTCCAATCCATTCTTTGAATTTGGTAAACTAATGATCCATCATTATGTGCTCCAAAGGCAGGCTAGTAACTTTAAGAAAGATAAGTTTAAGTTTGTGGATGAATCTGAGATATTCAAAAGTTCTTATCTTTGCGCAATCTCTCTCATTTGTTCATATTCTAACACAATACTTGTCTAGTCACCAATCGCTTTATATGATTCTACATTTCCCACTCATATTTTTTCTTTTGTGCATTGCACCTAAAAGTGTGCTTGAAATATGTGTAGTTAAAACCTCGGCAAAATCATCATTTTGGTCCCTCAAGTATCATCTAAGGCTCAATTTCATCCTAACTTTTAAAATGGTCGTTTCACCAGTCCCAAAACTTTACTTTTGGTTTCATCCTAGAACTATTAAAGCGATAATTGCACTCCTCAGACTTTACATTTTTAGATCAATTTTCATCTCCATGAACTGTGAAAGTTCAGGGACTATAATAAAAAGCACTTGGTAGGGTGAAATTGAGCCCAAAGTGCAAAGTTTAAGGAGTAAAACGATTACTCTAATAGTCTTAGGATGAAACTAAGTCTAAAAGTAGAGTTTGAGGACGAAAACAGTTATTTAAAAAGTTCAAGATGAAATTGAACCTTAGCTCGAGCTATGTGTTTAACATGAAATCTGTATGTTCGTCACTTTCTATATACATATGTATATAGTTAGTCGATATGTTTGGTGATACTAATCTTGCTTGTATACAGATGTTTGGTGATACTAATCTTGCTTGTATAGTTGTATACCTATATTAATAGTGGCAAAAGTGGGTAATAAATACCAACTAAAATAGATATATACAATTTAAGGCTTTTCCAATCGTTTTTTAGTTTTACCATATGTTGCTAACCATCCGAATCTGTTGGTATTTTGAGCGTTTGGTTGGTTGGGAGCGATTCTCTTCAAAGAAGCTAAAGCTGGAGCTCTCCCAAACGCCCCATACAGTCTCAGAAATTTCACTAAAAGAAGCTTCATAATACAAATTATATGAGTTTAACAAAGATGCTAATTTTAGTTTTACAGTATAATGTAAAAAGTACTCCTTATTTCAAATTATAAGATGTTTTGCTTTTATTGCTAGATACATAGGTTTTGCTATACATTTAGGTATACACTATGTCTAGGTACATAATAAAAATAATGTATCTAGAAAAACCAAAGCATCAATTATAATTTGGAACGGAGGGAATACTTGTTCTGAAGTAGTACTAGTTTGTTAGGTTCTTCTTGTGGCTCTCAAATAAACCTTCTTCATTCATGTGCTAGTGCTATTGCTAGCAGTAAGGACTTTACTTGTTTCATTGTTTGCAACATACTCTCGGAAAGAATTTTCCTAAAACTTTAAGAAGTTTCAAGGCACACATGTATAACCTCAAGAATAAATAAATAAATGAAACGTGTGGGATACATGCATATATATACTCTGCATAGACATTATAACCAGAAGTACAGACGTACACATGCATACATACAAAGCAAATACACATACATACACTACTGGAAACATCACGCTCCTAGCTAGTAGTGTGTATGGGGCACGGCCAACAACATCGCAGGCAGACATCAAAGTTTAAACCATACGTACGTACACATACATAAAGTGTTCACTAATGAAGGCCGATCAAGGCTTGGTCTCTGGCTCCGGGTAGTGGGTCTCGGCCTTTGGTGGCAACTCAGGTTCAGGCAGAGCAGGTGGCAGCTCATGCTTTGGCGCCTCCGGCACGTCCAGGTGGGGTAGCTCCGGCACGGTGGGGTGCTCAGGCACCTCAGGCTTCGGCAGCTCCGGCACAACAGCAGGGTGTTCCGGCACCTCGGGCTTCGGCAGTTCAGGCACGGTGGCGTGAGGAGGAAGCTCGGGCTTTGGCAACTCCGGCACGGCAGCAGGGTGCTCCGGCACCTCGGGCTTGGGTAGCTCAGGCACGGTGGGATGTGGTGGCTGTTAGGATCGTATGTGTACCTCTCTGTGTAACCCGTAGATCCGGTAAGCCTCTCCTTGTCTTCTCGGTAGATGCACCGCAGCGGGTAGACGCCGGCCAGTGCCGCAGTGTAGAAGACGTCCAGCGAGGTGGCGGTGAAGTCCGGTGGCGCTGGTGGAGAGACGGCGGTCCAGTGGTGACCCTACAGTGGGGCGACGGCGGTGGTGGGACACATCCCGTCGCTGGCAGCACGGCCTTTAGATCGGTTTAGGGTTTCTGTGAGTGGGATGGCGGCTCTGTTCAACCTCGTGAAATGAGCCCCGATCCCCACCTTCTCTATTTGTATGTGCTGTGCGACAGGGGCCCACCAACCAGTTAGGGTTGGGCTCTCCCGATCAGGGAGCAGAGGCAAGGGCCCAATAGGCCGTTGGGCCTATTGGTGGAGATCAACTAACATTCTCCCTCTTGATCTTATTTCATCTTTCAATTTCATATCATTTACTTTTGTTCATTCCATTACATATTAGCGCATAAAGCATGTCTCATCGTCCCGGTCCATTGCCGATAGATTTAACAGCTACAACACACTACTCTGTTCTGAAATAGATACTAATCTTTGGGCCTTCTTTTGTCCAGGAATTTTAGGCTTCCCTTAAACCCATGCTAGCTACATGTTCTCTGAACACCATGTTCTCTGAACATGTTGGGTGGTAAGCCTTTTGTAAGTGGATCCGCAAGCATTCTTTCTGTACTTATATGCTCAAGACTTATGACTTGATCTCGGACTTTATCTTTCACAATATAATACTCTATGTCAATATGTTTGGCAGCATCACCTGACTTATGTTGTGAGCATACTGTACTGCCAGATTATAACCGCAGTATAACTTAAGTGGTCTATAGATGTCGTCAACCACCTTCAAACCGGGTATGAACTTCTTTAGTCAGTTCACCTGCCCGTTGCCTCATAACACGCTACAAACCGTCATACATTGTGGACGATGTAGTGACAGTTTGCTTTGAGCTTTTTCATGAAATAGCTCCCTTTTGCGAGATGATAGAAAATCCACGTCTGGATATGTATTCACTCTCGCATAATTAGAATCTGAATATCCCACTATGTGGAATCAATCATATCTTCTATATGTCATCATGAGGCCTTTCGTTCCTCGCAAATAATGCAAGACTTTCTTTACTAATTTCAGTGTTCTATTCTAGAATTGCTCTGGAATCTGCCAAGTAAAACCCGATAACAAATGTCAAGTCAGGGCGCGTACATACTTGAGCATGTTGCAAGCTTCCGACAGCTGAAGCATATGGAACCACTTTTACTTTATCGATTGAGCTCATATTGGTTCCTGGGGCATTGAAAATCCCCATATCTGTCGCCCTTGACTATAGGAGCAGGTGAGGGACTACATTTGTGCATACTAAATTTCTTTAAGATCTTTTCCATGTATGCCTTTCGTGACAGTCCTTATACCCTTTTTCTTCTATCTCAGTGAGTCTCGATCCTTAGAACGAATGAGGCTTCGCCAAGATCTTTCATATCAAATTTCTTTGTCTCTAGTAGTAGACTAACATCACTACTAGCAAGTAAGATATCATCTACATATAGGACAAGGAAGATAAACTTCTCATTCTTAAACTTTGTATTGACACAATTGTCCTCTACATTATCTTTACTTTGTATAGACATAATTGTCCTCTACATTCTCTTTAAAACCCAAAATCCTTTATTGTCTGATCAAACTTCAAGTACCACTGTCTTGAAGCTTGTTTTAATCCATAAATGGATTTCTTTAGGCGACATCCCATTCGTTCTTTTGCTTTCATGACAAAACCTTTTGGTTGTGCTATGTAAATATTTTCCTCCAAGTCCTCGTTGAGAAATGTCGTCTTTACATCCATCTGATGTAATTCTAAATCGTAATGTGCCACTAATGCCATTATGATTCTAAAGGAACTTTACATGAGATTGGAGAAAAGGTCTCATTGTAATCAATCCATTCTCTTTGCATAAAGCCTTTTGCCACAAGTCGTGCTTTATATCTCTCTATATTTCCTTGAGAGTCAAGTTTTGTTCTGTAGACCCATTTACAGCCTACTGTTTTGGCTCCTTTAGGAATTATTTCCAAATCCTAAACTTTATTGGCATTCATTGATTTTATTTCATCTTTCATGGCCTCAAGCCACTTTGATGAATGATCACTTCTCATGTCTTCTTCAAATGAGGTGGGATCATCCTCCATTTGAAATTGCTCGGTGTTGTACAATTCATAATCAGCAGGAATACCTAATTTTCTAACTCTTTGAGACCTTCTAGGGGCCTCCACGTTTGGCACATCTTCTGTTTGAGGCTGTTGTTGCTTCCCCTCATGTGTGGCAATAGGTTCTATAGGATCCTGAAGAACAGGTTTCTCATCGTCACTCATTGTTGCCACAGGTGGGATAACAACAGGTGCTGACACCACAGTATCTAGCACTGTCGGTGCAGCG